TCATAAACATTGAGAGGGTTATGAACAGCGTGAGAATGTCCGAATATACCTGCAAAAACCGCTATCCAAAAATTATACGAAAGAGGGGCATTAAATTGCTGGGGCTGTCATTGTTCGCAATGAACAGAGGAGGGCTGCGACTTGATTCATTCAGTTAAAACAACTTTGAAAACGGCGTATAAACTAAGCATTGGAAAAATCGAGAATATTTCATAGCGCTGAAAGCACGTAACTTGGGGCTTTGCAACATTCCCTAAGTAATAGTTTCCAATAGCTCCTTCGTACAAAATGTAATTTTTAAACACTGCGGGACTTAATCTGAGCATACGGACATTATACAAGCAATCCTGGCTACAAGGGCAACATGGAAAACGAATTAAAAGCCGCGTAAAAGCGTGAAATCAATTCTGCAAAATATAACGATCCCAAACGGAACAAGTACATCAGTAGATAGCACTATGAGTTAAGAAGAAATTGGCTGTTCGACTGATGGACATATAACTAGTGGGGATTTTGATTATCTGCGGATAAGAAATTGATGAAACTGAAAGGCACTCTGATATTTCCGGGCTCTTGTCAAGACGACCTCGGCTGTCAATGCTGTATTGTTGTAAACTTCGTGAAATATATGATGAAAATTCGAACTGTTTAGACAGCAGTAAAACAAATTTGTCAAAAAATGTCTCTAAAAACACCGCATTAGCTTGGGGCTAGCTGTAAAGGACACTGTTTTCACAGCATATCGTTTAGCACAATCTGACCAACTGTTCCTTCTTTTGGCTGATGTCAGCGGCACAGGGGCATCATTGATGTGCGAACGCATTGGGTCACCTTTTCCGTCCAACTTCATGATGAGACTTGGCGAGCGGGATTGAGACAAGAGTATCTGAGACTTCCGCGTCGATCGTGTAGCTGAATACATCAGGATGGCGACCATGTCTAATGCGTTTTTGAGCGCCCCATCAACAAATCAGATACCCAATAATGCTAGAAGCAGACTTGAGCTACTACCTTATGGCGGCCAATTTTTCAGTGTAATCTCTAAAAAATTGCACTAGCCTCTATTTAGCTCCGCACTTACAGCTGCGATTTGTGGGCTTGTGTGTGACTAGGGATCTGATGTGCTGACCGGGCAGTGTGTGCGGGCGACTCAGCCTTCCTTCCACATCCCTGTCGCCGATTCCAGTCATTTAAAAGGATTCTAAGGCGGATTTTGCTTGCAGATACTAATGGCAAAGGTCAACCAGTCACGAAACTAGTCGCAGACTAACCGGAGGCGCTAGCACTAGGTGAGTGTCATGGTATCTGGGATGCATCCCGATTGACCATGCACGCGTCAGACACGGTGATTTGACTGCTAGATCAAATTAAAGTATGAAGGAATGCGAGGAAATGAACCTCCTTTCTACCTTAGGATGCGACTTAGGGCCGATGTTGGAGACAACAGTGGTCGCAAGAGGCATCTCCCTAAGTGATCGAGAAGATCTGCCGAACAGTGGAGAAAAACGAGGTCAAACGGACTAAAACCAACTTAAAAATAAGTTCGGTTCCCTGTAGAAGGTGACGACATCACATTAAAGGAGAAAACTGGGAAAGACGAGCGACACGTAACATACCGTACAACAGACTTCGAATGCTGCGACCACAAAATTGCTTATTTTAAACAGCGGTTGTGTGAAGATGCTGTAGGTTGGCAGAGTTACTCGTAGATTAAGCAGAAAGTAGGCTACTGCAAATTGTCTGCGTCTCGAAATGCCACTTTTGTACGAGCAACAACATGGCAAAGGCCAAAACGCAAATTTAACTGCAAAGAACCAGAAACATGTAAACAGTGGTTATTTGTGGTGAAATTCTAACTAGATGTTCGGAAATCTGAACAATTCTGAATCATTAACACTCAAAAGAATCTACACACATTAAAGATCGACGAAAAGAAGTCAAATGCATACCAAAAACCTTAAAGTAAGGTTAGAATAACCATGAAGTAGCGGGTAAACAGGGTATTGAAATAACACGATTAACTGTGTGACGGCATGGAACGAATGTCAAAAATTGGTTTCTCAGTATTTAG